CGCCGAGGACCGATGCTCTCGACGAACAGCCAACGTCGCGTCGACAATAACGATTTAGCAATAATGTACCATGGGCAGACGATTTTATCGAACAAAGGTTATCGCTCGCGAATGCGACGATCGCCGAACGAGCGCGCGTCCAAAGGCGGCCGTTTAATCGGCACCATATTGCAATAATACGCGTGTCCACGCGTGTCCACGCGCACGGACGTGCGCGCGTCGCCTTCGTTGATCCGGACGAACCAACCTGTAATTGCTTTACGACTGTTGTCGCGAAACGAAGCGGATAGATCGTACGCCACGCGAGAGCCGACGAATCGTGTCGCGCGCGCGCGCGCGCGTCTTTCGAACCGTTTCATTAACGAGGACGCAGACCATGGAAATCCCTGTGAACGATCGTAAAGGGCGAGTTGGGTAGAACGACGCGACAAAGTCGATGCACGTATTTGCGTTTTTCCTGTTTTCAACGCGTCAAAGAAGAGTGACAGGATCGCGCGCGCGTCGAATCGATCGCACATCTCGCGCGCGGCCGTTCTCTCGGGAAGGACAACCGTTGAAACCGCTCGTTAACGACACCTCGAGGTCGGTAACGTAGCCGTTCCACCGTTCCGTCGTTCCATCGCCCCACCAACGACGACCGCTAATTACTCTCCACGAGGATCGTTTGGGTTCACTCACCGCTCTCTCGGTTATAAACCGACAATAGCGATCGTATCGGAGCTCCGCGTATCTATCTATCTCTGTACGTGCGCGTACGCGTAAACCTCGCGTACACGTACAAGGGGGATCTTTGTGTATCGGTACGCGCGCGTATTCGGACCGTATTCTGGACAAAATATTTTTGCGCGAGGTTGCGTATCCGTGTTCGCATCTCTGGAACATCGACGCGTTCGAACAAAGGCGCAAGGACGACGGTGTACACCGATAGCAGTCCTCGAGAGAGCCGCGTTCTCGCACTTCTCTCCCGGTGCTGCAAGTAACTTCCCGCAAACATACGGTTAATGCTATGCAATTACAAGTCACGCTGCGAAACGCACCAGTCTTAAACGATCGTACTCCCGAACCATTACAACAACTTCCCAGTCGTAGCTCGTAGCTCCTAGGCTCGTGGCACGTATGGAAGGATACGTATGCGCGAGCATCGTCGGCTACGAAAGGTGGAAAATCAGCGATACGATCGACTCTCTGGTGTCTAGATGCGATCGTAGAGAGGAGAGAGAGAGAGAGAGAAGCGTCGTTTAAATTATTTAATAAAAACGAATTACGTCGGAGTCCATCGTGCCCAGATACCTTAACGTTCGAAAGTTATTTCGATATAATTATTTAATATATTATAATATAATTATTTAATATAATATTAAATTAAAAAATAGATTTCAGAAATATTTTCACGAACCGTTGATCCTCGAGAGCTTCGTGGGACACGGTCGGTCAAACGTTTACGCCGATTTAAAAAAATCGAGCACCGGCTATAAAAATATCTTTAGATATTATCAGAAATTTACAGACGCGACATTCAATGTCGAGAACGCGATTATCGAGAGAAACGGTCCTAAAATGCTGCAGTTGCAACTGCTAGATACAAGACGCGCGTGGAGGTGGAATCCTACAGACCCAAGATCATACGTACACACCTTCGAAGGCTGGCATGCGATGGGACAGAGGATCGAATTCGTTGCGACGTTGCATCGTTTTTGAAATACAATGCCTCTCCGCGGGGACAAAACCGCGCGCAGAAATCTCGGCATCCTTTCGCTGTCGAATACCGTTTTGGCAAAACTTTGTGCTCCCGTGGTCTTATCGAAATTAGTTTTCGTATATTTTCCTCGGTTAAGCGTGAACCGAGCTTACGACTCGAAAATACTCGAAGAGCGTTGCTTTCAACTTGGCCTTATTCGAGTGCAAACTGAAACCTATCGATCACCCTCCGAACTCGAAAGCCCCTAATTTCGAAGGACGACAAAGCGTAGACTCCGTTCGGAGATGTATCGGGGAAGGACGGATATCGAAAGAAAGAGCAAATATCTTTGACTACCGGCGGTTTCGGCTGAAACGGGGCGCAGAAGTGATACGCGCTTCGTACCGTGAAATACAGTGGCCCACAAAAGTGTTCGTACACGTTCTAAAACGCGATAACTTTTTTAATACTGGACCAAGCGACTTGAATTTTTTTTTAGATGATAGAGAGACTAATATACTAGACAATGACTAAAATGTTTTTCCTCGTTTTTTAACTTCTTCGTCCGAGCCTATAACGAAAATTTAAAAAACGTCTTTCGTACATCTCGATAACTGCATATGCATGCTGAAAATTTTATCGAAATCGGTCGACGTTGTTACGAGTTACGATAACTTAAAGATGGCAAAAATCTGTAAGAAATCTGCAGTTTTTTCAATCTTTCAACGCCTGCAGCTCGACTCTCGGTAAACCGATTTCGATCAAATTTACCAAGATCCGATACAAGCATTTCGATACAAGCTCCTACAAAAAGGTTAAGAAAACGATAGTCCTTTATTTATTTTTTTTTTTTTTGCGGGGGAAGTCATTCCAAGTAGTATCATCATCATCGTCCGGTAGAGTAGTCCCCCTACCGTCTAAAAAATATTCGTGCAACTTGTTCCAGTTTTGAAAAAGTTATCGCGGTTTGAAAATGTGTACGAACACTTTTGTGGGCCACTGTACGTAAAATCGGTACGAAAAAAGACAAGACAGCAAACGGTTTGCTACGGGTACAACGCACAACTACATAAAGCTAAGACTATGGACAGAGTCGAGAGAGTGTGTGCGCGCGACACGTATTACGTTCGCGTACCGGCTTCGCTTTTGCCGCGAGACTCTAGGCTACTCGCTAGGAGAGGCGAGCGGAGACGAGGAGCGACGAGGAGCGACGAGGAGAGGCGGGGCGAGCCGAGGCAAGCCGAACCGAAGAGGGCCCGAGTGAGAAGGACAGAGGTGGGGCGGGGCGAGGCAAGGCGCGGCGAGGCGAGGCGAGGCGAGGCGAGGCGAGGCGAGGCGAGGCGAGTCCGAGTCAAGTCGAAGCGCATACACTCGGACTACGAGCACGCACACATGCTGCAACACCGCAACGGTCAAGTGGTGGCTACTATATGTATAGTGTATAGCGCACGATATAAGCTCGCGCACAGGGTCGCGTTCGTCTCTACTACATCGCACAAGTACGCACGCACGCACTCCATAGTACGATCGACGGAAGTACAGGCTCCTTACCATTGTGCGCGCGTATCGACGACTAAACGTACACACGCTGGTCGAATTCAGCCATTCTCGAAGCGTGTATCCTTGTTCCGATACGGTCCGTCTATCGGTCGTACGAACGAATCCGTCGATGGCGATGCATTCCACAAGGTAATCCAGTTCCGAGGAAGATAATCAATTTTCCGTGGATGTCGAGCGNGGCATGCGATGGGACAGAGGATCGAATTCGTTGCGACGTTGCATCGTTTTTGAAATACAATGCCTCTCCGCGGGGACAAAACCGCGCGCAGAAATCTCGGCATCCTTTCGCTGTCGAATACCGTTTTGGCAAAACTTTGTGCTCCCGTGGTCTTATCGAAATTAGTTTTCGTATATTTTCCTCGGTTAAGCGTGAACCGAGCTTACGACTCGAAAATACTCGAAGAGCGTTGCTTTCAACTTGGCCTTATTCGAGTGCAAACTGAAACCTATCGATCACCCTCCGAACTCGAAAGCCCCTAATTTCGAAGGACGACAAAGCGTAGACTCCGTTCGGAGATGTATCGGGGAAGGACGGATATCGAAAGAAAGAGCAAATATCTTTGACTACCGGCGGTTTCGGCTGAAACGGGGCGCAGAAGTGATACGCGCTTCGTACCGTGAAATACAGTGGCCCACAAAAGTGTTCGTACACGTTCTAAAACGCGATAACTTTTTTAATACTGGACCAAGCGACTTGAATTTTTTTTTAGATGATAGAGAGACTAATATACTAGACAATGACTAAAATGTTTTTCCTCGTTTTTTAACTTCTTCGTCCGAGCCTATAACGAAAATTTAAAAAACGTCTTTCGTACATCTCGATAACTGCATATGCATGCTGAAAATTTTATCGAAATCGGTCGACGTTGTTACGAGTTACGATAACTTAAAGATGGCAAAAATCTGTAAGAAATCTGCAGTTTTTTCAATCTTTCAACGCCTGCAGCTCGACTCTCGGTAAACCGATTTCGATCAAATTTACCAAGATCCGATACAAGCATTTCGATACAAGCTCCTACAAAAAGGTTAAGAAAACGATAGTCCTTTATTTATTTTTTTTTTTTTTGCGGGGGAAGTCATTCCAAGTAGTATCATCATCATCGTCCGGTAGAGTAGTCCCCCTACCGTCTAAAAAATATTCGTGCAACTTGTTCCAGTTTTGAAAAAGTTATCGCGGTTTGAAAATGTGTACGAACACTTTTGTGGGCCACTGTACGTAAAATCGGTACGAAAAAAGACAAGACAGCAAACGGTTTGCTACGGGTACAACGCACAACTACATAAAGCTAAGACTATGGACAGAGTCGAGAGAGTGTGTGCGCGCGACACGTATTACGTTCGCGTACCGGCTTCGCTTTTGCCGCGAGACTCTAGGCTACTCGCTAGGAGAGGCGAGCGGAGACGAGGAGCGACGAGGAGCGACGAGGAGAGGCGGGGCGAGCCGAGGCAAGCCGAACCGAAGAGGGCCCGAGTGAGAAGGACAGAGGTGGGGCGGGGCGAGGCAAGGCGCGGCGAGGCGAGGCGAGGCGAGGCGAGGCGAGGCGAGGCGAGGCGAGTCCGAGTCAAGTCGAAGCGCATACACTCGGACTACGAGCACGCACACATGCTGCAACACCGCAACGGTCAAGTGGTGGCTACTATATGTATAGTGTATAGCGCACGATATAAGCTCGCGCACAGGGTCGCGTTCGTCTCTACTACATCGCACAAGTACGCACGCACGCACTCCATAGTACGATCGACGGAAGTACAGGCTCCTTACCATTGTGCGCGCGTATCGACGACTAAACGTACACACGCTGGTCGAATTCAGCCATTCTCGAAGCGTGTATCCTTGTTCCGATACGGTCCGTCTATCGGTCGTACGAACGAATCCGTCGATGGCGATGCATTCCACAAGGTAATCCAGTTCCGAGGAAGATAATCAATTTTCCGTGGATGTCGAGCGTCGCCGAGTGTCTCGTGACACGCGGCAAATTCACCTCACGACCCTGTTCCCACGCACGAACACGTACATGCGCACGCACACAGAGTCCGTCGCACTCGCGGCCGTACTCGTGCTCGTAACGAATCACTCGATCTCAATGCTGCATCGTTCGCGACAATTAAATACGCGTTGCACGCCGTTGCGTCGCGCGTCCTACGTGGAATCGGACCGAATCGGAGTCGAGTCCGTTTATCCCAGAAACTTTTTCGGCAATGGTCGATCGATTCCGTTCTGGTACACGTTCACTCTCACTCCGTTGATTCACCTTCGTCTCTTTTCCGTATCTCGTGCACTCGATATACGCGCGGGCGCGCGCGCGCGCACACACACGCACGCACACAGAGACACCGACCGACACACGAACGAACGAACGAACACACACGCACACAACACACGTTCCGCGTACGTGTTCCCCTTCGAACGTTGCACTTAATCTCCTTCAAGATCCGTTTTATCTCTTAACGCGAATAGATCACGAGCAAACCACTCTTTTCGTTACACTCGGTAAACTCGAACAACCGACGACACAGAGAGACAGAAGGAGAAGCGTTCGCTCGTTTACTCGCGAACGCGTACGTAGCACCTTTCTCGGTGTGCCACGGAGAATATGAGTTGGTTGTATATTCGGTGCACAAGTTCTCCTTTCTCGACGCCACAACGAGAATCGTTTGAAGCTCCTATGGATCCGATCCTATCCGAAAGGCGCTCTCTCGCTCGCTCTTTCTCTCTCTCGCTCGCTCGCTCGCTCACTCGCAGTCTCTCTCTCTCTCACACACACACTCTCTCTTCTCTCTCTCTCTCTCTCTTTCCCCCTCGGCAAGCTCCCCTGGCCTCCAAACGACCAAACAGATATCCTGGCTAGGAATTCACGAAGCTCGCGACACGCGATCGACGAGCATTATTCGCGCGAATACCGATACGTTCCGACGACACTCGCTACAAGTAGAATACACAAAACACAGCGAACGGGCCGATGCTAATACCAACACAGAAACGAGCATGCCCGTGCGCACTCGTTCGTTTGTTCGTTTGCTCGCGCGCTCATCTTCCGATGCACGCGCACACACAAGATACAGAGGTAGAGGTATCGAGAAAGACGCGAACAGAAGGATGGAAAAGGTACGAGGACTACGGGCAACGGCGATGCGAGGAGGAAGGGGACGGTGACAGAGCGAGAACGAGGTTCGACGCGAGCGGGAGGGAGAGAGAGAGTGAGATATGTGGATGGACTGGGGGAGAAGGATGGAAAGAGAAGGAGAGACAGAAACGGTGAGTGAAAGAGGGAGGGAGAGAGAGAGGATACTCACAGCGAGAAAGAGAAAGAGAAAGAGAAAGACGTTTGCACGCAGCACCCTGTGCGTCTCTATCCGACAGCGGTAGCAGCAGCGGCAGCGGCAACTATCGAGGATACGATTATCATGCGTACTCTCTCTTTCTTGATGTTCGCACTGGGCGACTCTGTTTTCAGTGTTTGCGTTCGCGAGCGTGTCCGCCGGTGTTCGACTGTCCCGAATCGGTGGGTTTGGTTTCGATCGCGGCACTCTCACAATCGCGCATCGAACACAGGCTCGTACGGTACGCGTCGAGACGAGTCGTGTCGTCTCTCGTCTCTCGTCTCTTGTCTCTCGTCTCGTCGTCTTGTTCGGGTTCGGTTTCGGCCGACGCCGCGCCGCGAGAAATACACAAACTTTCTTTCCAAAATGTCTCGCGGTTCTCGCGCACCGGCACACCGCGACCTTCTCGAGGCGATACCGTGGTACTTCGACGACGCGAGCACTCGGTTCCCCTAACCGGGAAATTCAGGGATTTCTAGTTTCCGAGGAGTAAAGAAAAAACCCAGACACCGCACCTCCCTTGTCAGAAAGCACTCACGGCAGACCGCAACACATGGCTACGGGCCTCCACCAAGATCGGCCGTTCCCGACCGTGTTCGGGCAACTTCGGACAGGGCCGTAGTCGTCGCGCCAATCGCCACTACACTCGACGAAACCAGTCGTCGCGTCGCGAAATCGTCGTCTATCGTTGCGCGAACATTCTCGCGGATCGTTTCAACGTTTCGCCGTCAGGATCCGTCGCCGGACCGGAACGATTCGTCGTCGAGCACGGAAATGCCTTTTATCTCGGTACGATTCTTCTTTCGCTCGTTCTTCCCGTTCTCTGTTCCCCGCGTTCGTGCGTTATCGATGGGAACGCTCGTAAGGGGTCGCTGCAAGAAATAAACGTTCGGTCGATCGATCGATATCTCCGAATTTTTCTTTTTTACCGATCTTCCTCGAACAACCGATTCGACGTCGTTACCGCGTATTATTCGTCGAAAGGTCGAAAGGTTACGCGCGTTTCGACTTTGCAAACAACAACAAAATTTCGCAAGGGATGGTAAAAAGTGATCGAAACGAGAAATAAGAGAGGCTATAAAGTATGTACAGGTTTTTGTACGGAGGAGAAAGAATTCTGTGCCGGGAAAGGGGCTCCCGATCTCGAGTTTCCGGCGATGGGCAACCGTTAGAAGCAGGCCGAGGGTTCTGCACAGGCGTCCTCCGTCGTCTTCCACCGAAGGCCGTGTGCGCCGTGTCAGCCGTGTGGTTGTGGTGTCACGGTGAGCGTGGCAAAACCCGGAAAGAAGAAAAGAAGCCGAAGGAGCTTGAAGAAATACGAAGGAGCACGAACGAGCCCGAAGGAGCTGCAAGACCTAACCTTCAACTCCCTCCGTCTCTTTCGCAGTCTTTCTCCCTCTATTTCTCGCCGAAACCAGAAGCAGCCCTGCTCCGTCGGCTTCGTCCTGTACACCGTATGCACATGTATGCGTGTACATCTAAACAAAACTGCCCTCTCTCTCTTCCCTTCTCTCCGTCTCTCTATCGCTCTCTACCCTCCCGTATTCTCGGCCCATCGTCGTCATTCGCAGCATCTTTTAAACCGAACCGCGGAGCTTGCCACAACCGATCGGAGAATCGTCGCCGACTTTACAAATGTTTTCGGCAATCCCGAGAGTCATCGCACGCGCGATCATTCGTTGCAAGCTCCGTTCGACTCGCAACCGGTTTACAAAATAAGCGCCATTACCCTAGACATTATATCCGATACGGAACATTTTCCTTTGCTTTCGCAATTTCATCGTTTCTGTTTCTTTTATTCGCATCGTGTTTCCTCGTCGCAACCTTCTCTCTCCCCCTGTATCATGCCACTTCAACCCTTGCTTCATTCTGCTGCTCCCGTTCTCCTCTCGCTGTTCACTGTTCGCACGACTCTCTATCTACCTCGAAGCTCAAGTTCTCTCTCTCTCTCTCTCTCTCTGCTCCCCTCCCACAGTTTCTGTCCATCTCTATCTGTGAAGCACGCACGCGCACATACGACCACGCTCGAGCACCATCTCTTTCTCTTCGGCGATTCTTAGTTCCCATAATGAACCGTACGACGTGGTTCGTGGTTAAGAGCAAATGGACGTGGCAGTTTCCCCGTCCCATTAATAATAGCTTTAGAGGAACTTGACCTTTTAAAGCCTTCAGTCGAAACTATCGTCGAAATCCATTTCGTGGCGATTCTTTCGCAACGTTGCTCCATCGATCTTTCCGAGTTTATATTTTCAGACGATGCGAAACGAATAGCGAATCGACGCGATATAATTATGTATCGCGCTATCTAATCTTTCCGAAGGAAAGCGTTCTATCTCGTTCCCAAATTTGATTGCACGTTGCCGTGCCTTATCGAGGCGCGTCCACGCGATTAAAGAATCGCGGAAAGCGATTTGTTTTCCGCCTTAATTACTTGCTGTATACACGCCGATATATACGTATACAATATGTCCCCTATATTTCAAACTATTTGATGACATCTAGAGACAATTTCGAGCGCATTTCCAAGACCGGCCCTTCGCTGTCTCGACAAAGTAACCGGTAAAGCCTCGTTAGAAGATTTATACATAATACAGAATTCAGACGAAAGACGAAACCATCGGGGCGGATGTGCGAAATTTAAAGTTCCCAACGTATCCATTTTATTCATATTTTTTGGGAGAAAAATTTCGTCTCGAAACGATGTCCTATTAATGTTCATCATCGTTCGTATACACGCGCGTACATGCACAGAATCTTTGTTGTTGCTCGCGACGCTGTTGCGTGCAACGTACGATACACGGTGGATCATCTAGAGGCGACTGTACGCGACGGAAGCTAAACTGCGTAAACGGCGCGAACGTTGGGCAGCGGCCCATCTCGTATTCTCGTACGGGACTCGTACGAGACGGCTCTAATAAAACAACGCTCGACGTTCGAAAACTTGTTTCTTTCGATCTGATCCGCGACAGATTTACGAGAACGGTGGAAATCGACCGGGTTCCAAGAGGAACGTGTTGCCACTTGTTTACCATGTTCGACTTCCTTCCTCGAGATCGCAGAAACGAGTAATAAACCGAGTCGAAATCGTCGGTCGGAACTTTTGACACGGGTGAAGCGCAAACGAAAAGCCGACCCCCTGTCAACGAATCGATAGCCGGATGGGCGTGGTCTCGTCGATCTTCGCGGATACTATTACGAACGTTAAATCTCCCGATGTCGACGGATATTCGAACTCGAAAGATTTAGTCCCCTCTCGAGAGAGAGAGACCCGTGCTCGAACAGGTTTCAAAGTATCGCGTCGCCCGGAACGACGACAATCGAAGCGAACGCGTTGCAATCGAAACTGGCAGAGCGACGCCGGCGATTCCCTAACGCGAAATTCGTTTGATCGGTGAACCAGTTTCGTTCTTGTCTCCTCGTCGATTCTTGTTCCATGTCGAATTCAAACCTCGATCGATGACCACCGCCCCTGCACACGCAGAAAACACAGGGGGCACGGAGGACGCGAAAGCCGTTACCAAAGTTATCAGTTACCAGTTACCACCCCGTCCCATCGGCGTTTACGTCGCGCAAACTATGCCCGTGTGTTTACTTTCCTCGACCGAAACGGCGAACCAGTTACAATTTTCTATCTCGACCCGAGAGCTTCCCGTCTACTTTCTTCGCTACTTACCACCCGTCGGTCTCCCCGGCCGTTTCGTTTCGTTTCGCACGGCTCGTTATTCCAGCTCCCTAATTTAGAGCTAGCATCCAGAATCCAGAATACTCGAGAATGCGACATTTTGTCGGTTTCGCTCGGCCGGTTGTCTCCTAGCCTCGCGATTTACATAGTTCTAATCGAGTCGATCGACGGTCGAGGATATTTGGTAGAATTAAAAGCGAAGCAACGGAAGAGACGTATACGATCGCGATCACGGGCTAAAGATATCTACGGGTCTGCAGGGAGTAAGGGAACGTGGAACAAGGAGCATAGTACTCGCAGCATGTGGTCTCTCGTCAAATCCTTTCTTGATTCTTTTTCACCGGTTTCTCCGTTTCTCCGTTTCTCCCCTCTAGTTGTGTTCCGTTTCTATTCACAATCTATCTCCGCGCAGCAATTTCGTACTCTTGTTCTTATTGCTCGGACCGAATTTCCCTCCGGGGTTTCAACTTGCTGCCTATCGCATCCATATACCCATACCCGTGCGGCACGCCAGCGCGTTCACACTCGCGATAGTTGCAAATATTAACAACAATTATTTTACGACCTTTCGAGCGAACACTTGACGACCTTGTCGATCGTGAAGCTGTTCGCTCGACCCGATACGAAAAGTCAATTTTCGCCAACGATGTTCGATTTGAAGCAAAATCGAATTATCCGTTGTCGAGAAGGTAAAAAAATGCGAAGATCCTTCTTGATAGTAGTCAACGCTAATTCTCGCTCGCGGTGAATAACCGCGCGAATAATCACACGAAACGGCAAAAAGTATCGATCGAAACTGGCAACGCTGTCATTAGAACAAAAAGTGAAATGCACGATGATGATCGAACGTTGAACGAATCGACAACTGTACAACAAGAATTACGAACCAATCGACGACGATCGAGTTCGAAAATTGTACATTAACGCACCTCTTTTCTGTAATCCTGTATATATATATATATATATATATATATATGTAAATTATAACGTATCGCCGTGCAGTTCGATGGGAGTAAAATCGGGGGGAAAAAAAATGGTATCGTTAGGTTCCGAATATTGTGGTTACGTTACTGAAGAACTACCCTCTGGCGGTACTATTCGACGAGTTGCTAGGATACACCCTTGGCTCGAACCCCCACTGTTAGTCTGTCAGTATTCGTTCAACTACTTTTACTTTATATCTCTAAGGACTACACCATCGATGGACTCTGCTCGAACCAAATCTCCAGTGTACACTTCCTGCCACCTATTCCCTCGAAAATGCTATCGAACTCCTGTCAAAAGTACTACACGGTGTAGCAGGTTATATTATGTATCGATTCGAATAATAAAACATGTTTTATCAGGCAATTTGACCGATTCACGATATTCTCGTAATTTCTTATACCCTACGATATTAGTTCCCCTCCCCCTCCATCTGCTATTTTATTCGAATTCGTGTTACTCGTTCGACGCAACCGATAGACAGACGCTCTTATCGAGGGAATCGAAGGATCGGTGAGAAAATTCTGGCTCGGAGGGGCCATTCGAGACGGTTGCCTCTACCATCTCTCTAGCGAAAACAATCGAGCGGGTAGTTTAGGTACCGTAAATAACCGTAACCCGTTGATTCGATTGTGTCTCCGATGAAAATTATTTCTGACATTTCTGACACGAATGCGTATTCGTTCGTCCAATCGACCGATAGTTTCTCGCAGCAGTCGTGTGGCAGTTCCGAATTAGGCTTCGGAAACGAGATTCCGGTACGTTCAAATATTTCGAATGGAAATATAAAATTCTGTTTGAATCGTTGAAACGGCAGGCATAATAATAATAAACCTACGGGTTGCTTGTTTTTCGCCAAGCTACGCGTACATGTGTACACACGTATATGCGCATGTGTGCGTGTCAGCGTTCGCGACACGCATATACGTATATATACATATATACGTATGTACGGTTCTGTGTACGTATCGCGTACGCGTGTATTTAATACAATTACGTTATACGGTTGACTTATCCTTAATAGTCGTGTCGCTTGTCGAATCAAATTGAACACGCAAACGAAAACGAGCCTTACCGTTCTTCTCGAAGGACCGGAAATTGCCTCGGAGTTTCCGGTGGTGACATCTTCCGCACTTAACACGAACTTTTCTTCCAAATACGTACCGGTTTACTCAGCAACCGGTACTAACCCTGAACACAATATAATAACTACATATCACGCACTGAAAACAATCGTTTCGTTGCCGCACTATTAGGAGATCGCAACGATTCGACGGAAAACTGTTCAAATACGAAGATTGTGTAACTTCCGAGCGAAATCAATCGTAAATACACGCACAAAATGGCAACTCACAAACCTATCGCCTCTGTGCGTTTACAGAACTGCCGTAAACACTTCATAGTCAAATCGACGACTTTGTATTCGTACAATCTTTTCATTTCGCGTAAATATCTCCTAGAAGAATTTTAATCGCTTAAATTACGAATATTATTTTTACAATAAATTTCATCGCTTCGACGTTCTCGACGCGTGCGAGAGACCCGAATCGTAATTGCGTCGTACATCGAAATTGACTAGGGCGATCGAAATCCGGTAATCACCGACCAAAGCGCCATCACTGTCATGGCCTTTTCCTGTTCACGCTTACTCCAGTGAAGACGTGAACGTAAGTTGTGCGGTAAGAAATTCGGACGTTACTCGAATTTTTCTGCCGGTCGTGTGATCAAAATTATTTTCAAACCGTGCTAAATCTACGAAGATTTTCAGTGATTCCAATTGTTTTTTACAAACCGAAACGTACGAATCGAAAGGTTTACTATAGTTCGGGGTAACCACATGGCCACATGTCTCCACGGTTTTCATAGATCTCGTTATATCAACAACCCGTTGAAAAAGTGTTCGTACGAACAAATTTTGATCGGGGACTGAATTGTTTCTCGCATTGTGATCTTTACAAAAGTTCTACGTTACAACGTTGATCGTTCAAAGTTTCTAGTCCGGTTATACGAATTTGGTATCTACATTTTTATACAGAATACATTTTGTTCACTGACATCTGACATAAAGAAATTTTATAAAGGAGTTCTCGAACCTGTTGGAAGAACGTTGCTCCAAATGTAACAACATTTCTGTTTATTTCATTTCATTACACCGTTGATACGCAGCAAGCTTCCCTTCTATTTATCTTCTACGCTGTACACTACTCTTAAGCTGAGATTTAGACTTCATAAGTTATTGCGTACAATTAAAACATGTGTATCTGTTACAGACAAACCATGGCAGATATGGAAACGTTCGACGACGTAGTGGTTTCCACTGCGACAGCCTTACAAGTTACGCTTTCAGCCGAACTACCAGAAATCAAGTTATTTGGTCGATGGAACTGCGACGACGTACAAGTAAACGATATGTCGTTACAAGATTATATTGCCGTCAAAGAGAAGAATGCAAAGTATTTGCCACATTCTGCCGGTCGTTACGCGGCGAAACGATTTCGGAAAGCTCAGTGCCCCATAGTGGAACGCCTTACAAATTCGTTGATGATGCACGGCAGAAACAATGGCAAGAAGTTGATGGCCGTAAGAATTGTAAAGCACGCGTTTGAAATTATTCACCTCCTTACGGGTGACAATCCTCTTCAAGTAAGTAGTATGTTTAATTCGCTCTACGTATCTTTTGCGAACGTATGCTAACTCGTTTAACTTATTTCGTTCAGGTTCTTGTAACTGCGATTATCAATTCAGGACCAAGAGAAGATTCTACGCGTATCGGCCGTGCTGGTACAGTTAGGAGACAGGCGGTGGACGTATCTCCGTTGAGACGTGTCAATCAAGCAATCTGGTTATTGTGTACCGGTGCTAGGGAAGCTGCTTTCCGTAATATCAAAACAATCGCGGAATGCCTAGCCGATGAACTTATCAATGCTGCGAAAGGTTCGTCGAATTCGTATGCGATCAAAAAGAAGGATGAACTCGAACGTGTTGCAAAGTCTAATCGATAAACACCATTTTTTCGTAAAAATATACAAATAAATGTTCCACCTTTGAACAAAATTTTCTCATTACAATTCATTCCTATCGTTAGAAATTTTGATTCAATGATAGGATACGTAATTCATTTAATGCGAGAGTTCTAACGAATGACCGAAGATGTCCTCCCTCTGATGGGAGTGGGGGGCGACCACTATCGTCGCCCCCTCCCGGCGACCGCCGTGTCCAGGGCGGGAGCCCTTGGCACCTCTTTGTGCGGTCGCCGTGACAGAGCGGTGCGGGGCGCGGCCCCCCGCACCGCCAAATTAACATCATGATTTGAGGGGGGAGGACTTAATCTGACCCCGGGACGCGGCCGGCCATCCCATGGTGGCCGGCCAGGCGAGGGGGAGCCGCGGTAGTGTTCTTAAGAGTTCCCGTGGCTCCCCCGTTAATCGCCAGCGCTCTAGGTCGCCGTGGGGGTTTTAGCGGATCAAACCTCGCACTACCCCTGTCCCGCACCCCCCGGGCGGGGCAGGGGTGCCTGGCCAGCAGATTTCCCCCACCTAAAAAAAAAGAAAAAAAAAAGAGTTCTGACGAATGTTGTTCGATCCCATTAATGTTTATTCACCTATAATCTATGGGATATAATACTACTGTGTCAACCACCGTGTTATCAGCTGGGTATTAGAAAGCATTCGTTGCTAGTTTAAATCGTCTACACGGGCGGCCGAATGACAATCCTCCGAGGAAACTCTGGAATTCGGATAAGTCACTCGTGTAATTACGCGTACACTTATGCGTCTGAAAGTATTTGTGTACCTAGATCGACAGAGCAGCGAAGCGCAACGTGGGATGATGGAACGACATTCTTTCCACGAAAGGTACTATGTACCGGGTACTAGGGATTAGGAAAATGAAGATTTAAGGGACTGGGAACTAAGAGACAAGGAGTACGATCCAAGATTGGGGTATCTAGCGAATGGAAAAGATTAAGGAGCAGAAAAGAGCTGTGTAGAAAGAGGAAATGGAAGGAGGAAGACAGAGTCCACCAAGATGCAACAGAGTCTAATAGGTTCGATAGAAAAAAAATAAAATCAGTAAAAATCTTTTTGGAGCTGTTAGGGTCAGTTTCTTAGGTATCCCATAATCTCTATAGTCTGTTCCATAGGAGTCGACGATTCTTGACGATGCGTGGGTGTCTTTACGTGTACAAGAAAGTACATGTATATCGAGAGAAGGGAGGCGAGATTCGCGGTAAGAAAAGACTGCGCGCGCTTCGAGCGAAACCGAATACAGCTGAAGCGCAGGCAGAGTCCCCCTTACGGCGAAAAATCAGGCTATACGGTCCGTCCATGTATTCTCAGCAACGTTGGTCCACGGTGATTAGGGATCCTAGTCTGGCCTAGCCTGGTGCAAGTATATACGCGCATAGAAAGTTAGAAAACTTGCGTGCTTCACCGTCGATGGTGCCACGATAGTATTCTCTAGCAACGTTAGTATACGTACTTCAGTGTTGCCAATCGAAGAGCGTACGCTGTGCCAGGTTAGGTAACAACGTTACGAGCAAAGTTCCGATAAAGTTTGGTCGCAGGTTGATCGCGTAATCGGAGTTCTTACGATTAAATTACGACAGCGATCATGTCACGGATTTTAAAAAAGGTAACGCATCCGTCAAGATCGATGTACCGAAGGAAACGAGTTTAAGAATCCTTGCTCGAACGTCGATCGAACCGTCGCAACAGCGATACGTTGTTCGGATCGTTGCACGGTTCGCAGATGCAAGTACATACACGGTATACGATGACAGTATAAACGTTTGTATTTCAGACGACAGGACTAACGGGTCTCGCCGTAAACCCGCAAGCCCGTGAAAATTTGATGAAAGTCTATTCGCAAGTTTTGGCAGCTTTAGCTATTCTACCGCAAGAGTCTGCTTATAGAAGAAACACAGAAGCCATCGTCAAAGAAAGAAACGCTATCGTACAACAGGTAATGTCCCGCGGTATTTATCGACGTTCGTGTTCGTGTTCGCGTTTTTCCGCACACCGTGTGTAGTCTAACGAAATGTTTTTCGAATCGCAGAACACCAACGTGGCCGATATAGAGAATAAGATAGGTTACGGACAGATCGAAGAGCTTTTATTGCAAGCGCAGGACGAGTTGATCTTGGCGCAAAGAATGTCATCGTGGAAACCGTGGGAAAGTTTGACAGAAGAAGCACCCAGTCATCAGTGGACATGGCCGCCTCGTAAATAATTTACATCCGATATAACAGATTTGTAGATAGAGCCGAAACGATAGACCGTCGATCCCACGTGAGATACACGTTCGTACGCGTGTCACGCCGTCGATGCGTCTTGTATGAAAAATAAATATCGCATAAACTTTTGCAGTTGTTACGAATATATGTGTCTCTGCAAATGTTCAGGGTACGTTTAGAAAGTAAATTCGTTGATTCGGCGGAAGGCCCGTTTCGAGAACGGTCTTGAATGCTTTCCGGTTCGGGACGACGAGAAGGATGATACCGAAGCGACTAGAAACTGAAGACGACGCTGAAAGCGAGTTGGGTGTATCCGGACCGAAAGAGGAACGATCGAGGGTCCGGCAACGACGTCGACGTCGACGCGAACGTCAACATCGGCATCGACAGCGGCATCGAAAGGAATGCGGAGAGATAGGAGTTCCTCTCTCAGGCGGGAGATAGAGAGGGGCGTCGGGATCGCGATAGCGATGGGATGCGTTCCGCGGTAGTGGGGAATAGGGCAAGTTAGGTAGGAGTAGCTAAGTAAAGTTAGAGCGAAGGTAGGAGAATGGTTTTTGAGTCGCGGATCGAGGATTTACGGGTGGGGATTCGAGGGTCGCCGTACAGTCCTGATTTCGCGTCGCGTTCGAGCCGAGCTCGAGGATAGGGATCGATCGATTCGCACTCCTTTTCGAGACGTCGAACATTCGATACGTTGTTTCGTTTCGCGTTGTCGTATCGATCGTTGTTCGCTTCTTTTCGGTTTCGTTTTTTCTCTTCTCGCGTTTTCTTTTACCACGTTTTCTGACTTGTCTCTCTCCTATTTTCGCTGCTCCGTCTTTTCCCTCGCGACACGTTCGTCGCGCGAATTTCGAACGTTTTGTACGACTCGGAAGAATCGGTGTGTTTCGACGATAAAAATACGGAGAAAGACAAGTCGTCGTTCGCCGTTTGCCGTTCGCCGTTCACCGTTCGCCGCCGCGTATTCGAAAGTAGGCGATAGTATCGCAGTCGTACCGTAAACCATAGTACATACCGGTAAAGAGCCGTCGAAGTGTCACGATTTTGAGGCTGCGAGCAAGAGCAAGAATCGAAGCCCGCGGGTGTGTTGCAAGTGTCGGGAATAATCAAACGTCGATGCGAGGTGGATGTTCGCTGTTTCGGAGTGGCTGTACACGATCGATCGGTCGTTCTTTGCGATCGTTTGGTGCTTCGATCGCGAGGAAGATTCGATTCGGCCCGGAATGACATTGCTCGAAGTGAATATTCGATCGACCAATGGCTCGCGTTGAGCGCCGGGTCGAACTCCCGATCAGAAGAAAAGCGGAACCACGAGCTGGGAGAGTCGACGATCGGTGTGTACACAATGTTTCGTCTTTCGAACGGAATTTCGCTCGCGAACGGGTCTTTTCTCTCGAACTCGCGTAACAGGGAGGTCGCCGCGCGAAAATTGCTCGGGACTCGCCCGTCGCGAAGAATTCGCGAGACGGAAACGGAAGCGAAAACATGCCAGATTTCGCGGCGGGGAACAATGCTCGCGGAAGAAAACGCGCTCTCGTCCAAAGACAATGCGTGGAATTTCTTTGAGCGCGACGAGGCGAAAGCAGCCGACACGTTACGCGCGTTCGTTCGTTCGTTCGTTCGTTCGTTCGCTCGTTTCTCTCGAACTCGCGCGATCGGTGGACTCGACCGATTCTCGTGGAAAATATTTCTTCGTTCGATTCGTTCGTTTCGTTCGTTTCGTTCGCGTTGGTCCAGCAACGAAAGAATAGCAAAGGGAAAACACGAGCGGAAGAGAAACGAGAATTTAACGAGGCAAGAACGTGAGAGAGGAAGAGAGGAGAGAAGAAAGGAAGGACGCGCGGAAGGAAGGAAGAGCGGAATGGACTGGCAACGAAATCGGAAGGAGGTTCACGCGGCGTGACGTTGACCCGTTATGTTCCGCGCGCTCGTCGTTCCAGGTTCCAGCTGCTGGCGAAATCGCGTGCGCGAGCTTTGTTTACACGGGATCTCGGCGACGCGAGATTCCGCGCGCGGCCGATAGCCGCGGCTACGCGATTCGACCGATTTGCCGTCGCGGAAACGCTCGATTACGATTCTCGTTGCGGCAATCGCGCGGACCGGTAACAAGCGCAGCGTTAGGAGAGCCTGGCAACCGTTCCTCGAAAAGCCCGACGCTGTTCGAACGCGCGCTGTGCCGCGTACCGTAGCGTTTCGTTGCGTCGCGTCGCGTCGCGTTGCGCAGCATCGCGATCGCGCAACGCCCGCACGTTTCCAACAACGTTTTTCGAGTTTCGGTAAGATACGCCGCGACCGGTGGAAGCGCGCCGCTCTTCTACGATAAAATTGCGAGAGACCGGTCCGCCCCGTTGCAACGGCACGGCACGGGGCCTTTTTTCTTTTCGAGAGTCCGCGGGTGAAAGCACCGAACGAACGAATACGCGAGGATTTTTCTCGCCGATAGGAAACGCGTCGAATTTCGTGCGCGGCACAGGCCGCGCACGCTTTCCCTCGCCGTCTCCGATCAACGTTATGGTATCCCGCGCGTCGCGAATTCGCCTAACCGTTGTTTCTCTCGGCTCCTGCGAGAACACGCTCGCGTCCTCTCGGTCAGCGAACTGTCGCGCCGCGCCGCGCCGCCGCCGCCGATTCCTTTCGTTTCGCCGGACCGTTAACGTCAACCCTGGGCGATTCGCTGAAAACTCGCGCGGACCGGGAGCCCGCGGATCGCCGTAGGAGAAAGTTACGAGGAATCGCGTGTCGCATATTTTTGGGAGAACGGCTTCCACGTAGGTCGCGACGCGTGTACCGTTCGCGCGTCTCTTCGCGCTCAAATTTCAGCCACCTTTTCCGTCTGTCGGAACCGCGACCGTGCGCGCGAGCAACTTTCACCTTTCGTCCATCCGTTCGTTCGTTCGCGCAGTTTCTCCGTCACCGTTTCTCCATTCGAAGATGGCCCTGCGGCAGGCGCGTCGGCGTCGCTCGTTTCCCAAGAATCTCGCATTCCTCGGATCTCGAGGCTGGAAAGAAGAACGGACGCGTCTCGGCTCCGTCGCGCGGCAAATCGTCGTTGCCTTCCGCGCGCGCGTCTCCTCGCGGTCTCCTATATGCTCTCCGTAATCGGCTGTTTCCCCTCGATAAAGGTTGGCACGAACGCGGAGGCGAACGCGAACGCGAACGCGAACGCGAACGCGGATGTCGTTCGCTTTACCACTACCGCCGCTCGATCCCTACCGTTCTCTCCTTCTATTCGTACAATCGTTGCCCTCGCTACTCGCTTAGCCTCGACTTGCCGAGACACGACTCTATTCGACTCGTCTCGACTCGACTCGACTCGGCCCGCAGCTTTCCTTCCGCATTCTAAAATTCCCGTGAAACTGCGTTCGCGGATTTTTATCGGCGACGGGGAACGGTGGATAGAGAACGATGGAAAAACGACGGGAAACGTCGGACAAGGACGCGGAAGAACGCGAGAAACCGCGCGGCACCCGATATCCGCCAACGATTCGTTCGAAAAAATCCCTATCCGCGTGTCCAGATCGTTCGAATCCGCTCGTTTTCTCGCGTCGCGGATCAACTTCTAGGATCGAGTTTGGTAATGCGCATGCGCGCAGGTGCGAGAGAAATGGGTGCGTCACGGTGCACTTGCACGATTGCGCCTGACCCACATGCCTCGCGAATAACACCCATCCGTGCTGGTTCTTGACAACCTGCCGTTTCGTGCCCCACTCTTCCATCCCCTTCTTCCCCTACTTTTATCTCTCTTTCTCTCTCGCGCGCGCGCTCCTTCTCTTTTCGCGCCACTCGTTTCGATCCGTTTTCTCCATTACCTTTTCGGTTGTCCGGTCGCCGGTGAAATTAGGAAGAATCGCAAGCGGAATAACGATCGAACGGGTCGAATCGATCCCGTTTCGCGAAACGAGGCGAGCCGAACGCGAGTTCGACGCGACAGCCGCGCTCGGTTTCGACGATTCCGTGCTCGACGGGTAAAGAGCTTTTTCGTCGAGGCCGCGTCCGTGGAACGCGAAGAATTTGCCTCGAACTCCGGGAAAATTCGATCGACCCGGTTCACCGAGTTGGCGGCAGTAACGTCTCCCTTACTGACGCTAAAATGGATAATTTGAGAAGAGATTTTTCGAGCCTTGCGGCTCGTTTTTATAATCGTATCTCCTCTTCCCAAATTGTGCATTTTTAGAGCAAAGGCTGAGCGTCGATTAGAGAGACATTACTGTACAGTAATGTCTCCCTTACCGACGCTCAGATTACGGTAATGTCTCCCTTACTGACGCTCGGATTACAGTAATGTCTCCCTTACCGACGCTCAGATTACAGTAATGTCTTCCTTACTGACGCTCGGATCGTCCACTTTGGGAAAAGATTATCCGAGCCTTGCGGCTCGTTTTTATAATCGTGGACAATTTATAACTATAAAAATAAATAATAAAAAAATAATAATAATAATAAAAATAAATAATATAAATAATAATATAATCACCTCTTCCAAAATTATCCACTTTCGTGGACAATCCGAGCGTCGATCGGAGAGACATTACCGTACTCCGGCATTCGGTCTCCCTCGTTTTCTTTTCTCTCGTCTTTTCTTCTCGTCCTTTCCCGTCTCGTCTCGTCTGGTCGCGTCGCACCGAGTCTCTTTACGCAACACCGATCTCTAGAAACCTTCCAAGGGAATGTAGGTCGTAGAGATCGCCGCCTCTCTTTGGTACGCGCGGAGACGCGTCGTCCGGTATTTGCATGAGATTCGTACGCGCCCGTCCGCGGTCCCCGGAGCGTATTAGGCGCGCCGTAGAGTGTACGCAGTTATGTCAAATTTACGGCCGTTGTCGCACGGTTCGGAACGATTTCTACGCGTTCCCCTGACCGAAAGCCGGTTCCTCGAAGTCGACTTTCCGATTCTTTCACGGGTTTACGGATTCCGTCGACGAATCCTCGTCGAACGAATTTCGGTCATCGAGAGTCGCGACCGGCTGCGGCATTAAAGAAAGCGACGAGAGAAAGAGAGAGAGAGAGAGAACGACGTCGAGAGGCAAAAACGGCCGACGGGAGTCGCGGCGCGTCCGCTCTCACCGGATTACCGGATCTCGTGCTCGTCCGCGCCCCAGGAAGACTTTCTTTTTCGCGCGAAGCCTGCGACCTCGATTCGATTCGATCCGATCCGATCCGATTCGATTCGATTCGATTCGCAGGTAGTTGCTCGGCTCGCGGCGATCGGTATCGATAGACGATAGACGACAGCGAGTCGTCTAAACGCGGATCGATCCGAACGATGATGCGCGTCCGCGTAACTTTCTCTCGGATTACGAGGCTACGCGACGTCGAGGTTGTCGTCTCGAGCGCGAAGCGGACGTTGAGCCGACGCGACGACGCGATACCGGTAACCCTCGCTCGGAATAACAGTTCGCGAGCGGACCGAAAACATCCGCGTGCCGAGGGCTCGCGTCGGAGCTCGCGAACAGTTACGAGCTCGGTTCGCTTCGAATTCACGGTCGGTTGGAAACGCTTCGAATCGTTGCGAACGCGACCACGCGCGCTCCGAGCTCGCGGACAGTCCCGTTCGTGGACAGCGAGCGTACCGCTCGCCGCGCCGCCGGCGGGCTGTTCGCGAACGACAGCGTGGACCCGGCGTAACAGTTCTCTTCGCATTCCAGCGGCCGCGCCGCGTTTCGAAATCCGACTCGAATCGACTCGAGCGCGAGCAGTTCGTTCCGACAATGGGACGGTTCGTCGTTCGATCGTGCTGCCCGGACCGATTCGAACCCGTTAGATAAAACCCGTTATCGCCGGTATCGCGATTACCCGTCGCGCCGTTTCGCCTCGCTTCGACGAACTAGAGGCAACGATCGCTCCGACCTCTTTTCCCCGCGTTTTCGTCGTCGTCGTCGTCGTCGTCGTCGTCGAGAAATCGCATTCCGTTTACGGATGTTACACGCGTGTAACGAACGTACGCGTATCGACGCTATCGACGCTCGCAACGCGTTTCTCTCGCGTTCGTTCGGCACAGGTAGCTCGAAAAGCGTAGTCGGTATCGACGACTCGGTCGGCAACGTCGCTTCGTCATTTCGTTTTTGCCATTCGACCGCGCGAACGACCTAGGAAAAGTTCGGAGATGCCTGGAACGATATTTTCGGCAAACGGTTCGATAACGTTCAAACGTGTAGTACATCTGGTACATTCTTACCGTGCAACAATTCGAATTTGCCGCGCTTCGTTCGCTACACGCAGCGACAGAAATACTGAAACTATCGGACGCGTTTATCGCCGGAGTAGAAAGAATACTTGAGAGTGCACGGTGGCGCCACCCGATCTTGCTAAGGTCAAGTTCCGGTCGGTAACTGGTCGGTGTCCGGCGGTCGAAGCGTTTCGAGGCTGCGCGCGCCGGCGCCGTGTGTCGCCGTGTGTCGTCGTACATCGTCGTGTGTCGCCGTGTGTCGCCGCGCGTCGCCGTACGTTGCGAATGGTTCTATATCGAAATCCGCGTAATCGCGCGTGCGAATAAACTCGTTCCGCTCGGCATAGGCGCGGAAGACTCCCCCGAACGATTCTGTCCGCTCGACGATAATTAGAAAGCGGGCTATACAAGAAAACTATAAACTACATCCGTGGATTCAAAGTTTCTCCACTTCCTTCTCTTCGTTATCGCTTCGACGAGCGTCGAAGGTTTTCTCTTCCGCGTCCGTTTCACTGGCGGGTCTTTTCAGGTTCGTTTTTCCCACCGATTTCTTCTCTTCCGTGGTCGCTCTCGGTTCTCGTCGTATACAAGGTGTCCGAAAAGTGACTCGCGATCGGGAAACAAGGGATTCCGAGTAACGTTTCCCATGGCGAAAACGCGATCCGCGGCTTCGTTCGGCGGAACCGGCTCGTTTTGACTCGGCCGCCTCCGTCGGTCGTCGTTTTTCCTCGACGAATCGTAGAGAAGACCGCGGATCGCGTTCGCGCCGAGCGGGAAGCGTCGCTTCGAACGACCCTCGTTTGCCGATCGCTAGCGACTTTTGCGACACCCTGTACAATTGTGCACGCTTGATCGGCAGTGGACGACGGTCGACGCGAGGACCTGGAAAATGGGCAACAACGGGAGCAGCTCGCGGAACGAACAGGCGACGAGCTCCGGTCGATCGAGCGGCCTCCCGATCCCGGAGGGGAGCCGCGGTTGGTCCCAATCGTTTCCACGAGAGCTGGTTAGGCATCGGTCTCGAGCGGTCGCCGCGGCGGCTCGGAAAGTGCTGCCGGAGCCACCGAATCAGAGGTTACGCGCAACCGACAACGGCAGCATCATCCAGAACGGCGGGACCATAAGCGGTCGCAGAGCGCCGACGTTCGCGTCGTCGCGCGATCTCGCCAAGGTAAACGCACCGTCGTTCCATATGTACACGGTTTAATCCCTTAATGCACAGTTTTTTTGAAAAAGGCCGGCCAAAAAGATCAATTTTTTTTAAAATGTAAAAAAACACAATTTAGAACGTTGTCTTGACAAGAAAATTACAAAAATACAAAAATAATCAAAATTTTTACTGCAAGTTTGGATTTTCATAACATTGCAGAAAATAGTCGAATATTATAATATTACACGCGCACACATCGACTTTTATTTTATCTTCCTTTTCGAATACCCATTTCAGAATAAACATTATTATCAGAAAAATATTTATTTATACTTTTAAAACATAAATAATAACGATACCAGTATATTTATAATATTGATTATTATATTTATATTTTATTTTACATTATATTTTAGTAAAATATATATTGAAAAATGAGCGAATCAGAATCTGAATATGAATACGCTGTCGGAAAGCGGCTCGCAAGGAAGAGATAAGTCGTAAGTGATAAGTAGAAAAAGGATATATTTTATACTTGCTTGCAATCCCATGTAAATGATAAATATCAATAAAACGATTGTTTTCGTTTGTTTTCACATTGTTATTTTCAATTCTCGAGTTAACTCGAGCGTGCACGTTAAGGGGTTAATGCGTCGCTGCGCGTTCATCCGTCGCGCATACTATTCCATAAAAACTGTGTAAAAAGTGTAAAAAAAAAACTGGCACGCTCACGAGGCAGGCGGTCGATTTCAGCGCGAGCGGGAGCGCGACGGACCGTTTCGCAGCAGAAGCACCTCGGCGTCCCGCGTCCCGGAGCCACGCACGACGAGGATCGAGCGAGCGTGCTGCCGCTACCAGGTGGACGCGAGTCGCCGACGATTCAACGGCGCACCGTCCGACTTGAAGCGATTCGGAAGCGAGCCGGATCTGCGATACGCGGCGCCCGAGCCGCCGGACCGGTCGAGCTTCGAGAGCCCGATCGGCGGCCGAGAGGACCGGCCGGCCGTCGATCGTCGACGGGCCGACAGAGACTCCAAGGACCGCGGCGAGAGTCGGTACAAGGCCAGGAAAAAGTACAAAGCTCCCGCCCCGCCCACCGCTCCGATCGTGTTCGGCAACGATCCGATCTCGACCTCCGCGTCGACCTCGACCTCCGTCTCGATTCCGTTCGATCCTCGGGACGTCGAGGCTCGCTGTCGTCACGAGCGGAACGTCCAACCGCCGCCGAGGAGATCCCGCCTCTTCAAGACTCGGGCGGAGACCAAGAAGGCGCGGGTCGGTTGGCAGCTGTCCAGCTTGGACGGACAGAATCGGCGGCATCGCGAGCTCGAATCGACTCAACCGCTTCGTCGGCTTTCCAACGCGGACGCTGACGGCGCCGCCGACGCAGACGCGGACGCGGACGCGGACCGACAGCGACAACGACCGCGGGCGAATCAGTTCGACGGAAAGAACACGCTCCGGAGAAGCGTCAGCAGCCCGGAGTTCCAGGCGGAGCTGATCCAAGCGGCCAGAAGAGTCCGCGACAAGCTCGCGAGCGCGACCAGATCCGCCGTCGGCCTCGATCGACCCGCGTCGATCGAGGTCGAGTCGCGATCGCTGGATCGCCGCCGCGAGCTCTCCGACCGGCCTCCGATCGAGATCGGGAACGAGAGCGAGCCGGTTTCGCGGCACGCGAAGCCACCCGCGCGGTCTCGCCCAGCCGACGAATATCCGCGAAGAGCCGCGGAGGAACAGGGAAAATCGGGAAAACCGTCCGTCCGGCCGAATCTCGTCGAGCAGCCGGCGATCGTCGACGCCGGGCGCGGCTCGTCCGATCGGGCGACCGGCCGACGGCGATCGAACGACGCGGGAAATCGCGATCTCGTTTCCAACGAACGGGTCGCGGTCGATTGGACCGAGCCCGCTCGTTCGCTGTCGCCGCGGTCGACGAAGGACGCGGTCGACGTCCGCGGATGGATTCCGGAGGCGATCGAGCAAACGGTCGAGGACCGGCGACCGGAGTTCGAGGACAAGGAGAACTCGGATCCCGACGCGGCCGGTAAGCTCGACAAGGTCGCTCGCAAGCAGGACTCGAATTATTCCGAGGATCGCGGAGATCGGGACCACGACCGGCCGTAAGTCTCTCTTCTTCTCGGACTGTTCGTCTCTCGACGCTCTTTAACGCTCGATCGCTCGATGCTCGCCAGATACGCGCACTCCGCCCCGAAGACCTTCTACTTCGGCATGAAGGAGCTGCTGGTGTCGTCGAGCGAGCCGCGGCATCGCCTGGACCACGAGAAACGGGAGAAGCGGGAGAAGCGGGAGAAGCGGGAGAAACGGGAGAAGCGGGAGAAACGGGAGAGGCGGACCGAGTTTCGGGACCGAGAGGACTGTAGATCTTCCATGGACGCGGCGGACGACACGGACGACGCTTCCGTAAGTGGAATCCGTCTCCGACCGACGCGACGTTTCTCTTCTTCACGTTGTCCCGCTGGTTCGTTTCAGGGCCGCAACGTCGCGGAGGACATCTCGTTGAAGCTGCGACCGACCCTGCCGAAGAAGCAGCTGGAGATCCCGCGATTCTCGCCGTCGGCCGCTTGGAGGCTGCTCTCCGCGCTGGAAACGCCCGGGCCCAGCACGAGCACGGCCAGCGAAGAGACGCCGGTCGGTAAAACGAAATCGCGATCCTCCGCTGCCTACGGGAGCTCGAGGAGAGAAGGCGCAACGTAATCCTAGTTAAATTCGCGTTCCAGGCGATGTTCGAGGAGAGGATCGAGCGGCTCTCGAGGCCGCCGCCACCGCCGCCTCCGCCTCCGCCGCCGCCGCCACCGATGCTCGCGCTCGGCCCTCGCAGCTCCCACGACAAGTCCGGCGACTCCGGGATATCCGGGGACGCGGGGGCGGGCAACGAGGACTCGTTCGACGCGAACACGATCAACCGGGCGAAAACGTCCGCGACGAGGCCGGCGTGGACGCCGCAGCAGGACCTCGGCGACGACGAGTCGAGCAGCGACGCGGGCGTCGATTCGCCCTCGCCGTTGCCCTTGGCCGCGCCGTTCAACAACTATCGGCCCCGAACCTGCGTGTTCTCGCTGTCGCTGCCTCGCGAGGATCCCAGGCCGAGTCCGACCTTGCCCGAGTCGAGAACGCGGGAACAGATGTCGGCCTTCGACTCGCTGAAGAAGCTCAAGAGATCGATGTCGGGGGCGTTCGGGATCGGGGCGCACGAGCTTAGGAAGAAGCACTCGCACGACGTTCTCGACGACAACTGGTTCTTGTCGACCAGCGCGCCGACCTCGTTGCAGCACGGACAGTCGCTCGCCGTCGAGACCGCGCGATTCTCCGCTTCGTCGTCCTGCTGGAAATCGATCGGAGCTCGCGACCGGGAGGAGAAGCTCGTCGTCGACGTCGTTAAGAATCGTTGCGAGAACGACGCCAATGGCAACTGCAACGACGACGAGGACTACGAGGACGAGGACGACGAGGACGACGAGGGCGAACACGAGGACGAGGACGACGACGAGGAGGAGGAGGAGGAGGAGGAGGAGGACGACGACGACGAGGACGAGGACGAGGAGGAAGAGGACGAGGAGGCGTTGGAGAAGACGGAGAGGAGCGCGGAGAACGAGGCGGCGGAGCTCGAACTGTACGCTACCGACTTTCCCGTCACGTTGATATCGCCGTCCTTCTCCTACTTGGCTCCGAGCGGACGCGTGATGTATCTGCCGGAAGCGGACGACGCGAAGCGGCGGATCTCGGGGCGGATCGGCGTCGTCGAGCGGGACGAAGACGGGGACGCTCGCGAGGGAGATCGCGCGAGGCAGACCGCGGAGCCGGCGTACACGAGTTACCGTCGCAGTCCGTCGAAGCGACGGCCGAGGACGACCGGGCTCGAGGACCGTTCCGTCGAGTCCAAACGGGAGCAAACTCGAGATCCTTCTCGAGGAGCCGTGAACGGTCGTGAACCGTCCTCGACGTCCAAAGAGGCGAAACCGCAAGGAAAGGCCGGCTCGAAGGGCAGACGATTCACTTTCCAGTCGACGGTCAGACAGATCGAGAGGCGCCGATTGGCCGAGAAGCTGTCGCGGGAGGCCGAGGCGAAGGAACGCCAGCGGAAGGGCGAGCTGGAAGCCATGCAGAAGGTGGAGGAGGAGTTTCAGCGGAAACGCGCGAAAGAGAAGGCGAACATCAGACAGCAGTTGCGTTTGTTCAAGGAAATGGAGGAGAATTTCAAGTAAGAACCGGAAAGAGATTCGAGATTCCCTTTGTCCCCTCTTGCACCACCACCCCCCGCCCCGCTTCGTTCCTCCTTCGCGGGAGATCGAAGGCAGCGTAAAGGCGACGAGTTTTGGGCCACGCCTCCTCCCCTCCCCCTTCGGCATCCGTCGCGGACCGCGAGCAGCGAAAGCGCGGCTACGCGGGAACGCGGGGAAGAGGAGTGGGGGTAAGAAGCGCGCGTGGCCCAAAACCGCGAGAAGCGGCTTTTTAACCTTTGGCCGCGCTCGCGGCCGCCCGCGCTCCGCGATCCGTCGCCTCGTCCCCTCTCGACCCGTCTCGTCCCGTCGAGCGCCGGAGCACGAGGGTGCTAGGAGACGCGTGGCCCAAAACTGGTCAGCCGTACGCTGCCGACGAACTTTCTAACGAGTTTGATGAATTGTAGCAACCTGGCGAGCACCGTCGAGTGGGACAGCTCGCAGGTGCGCCGGCCGGATCCGGACGGCGCGCCTTCCTCCACCGCCTCTTCGCCCACTTGGCAACCGACCTGTCAGCCGAACCGGCAGTCCGCCGGAAAAAATCGCGACGCCGCGCAAACCTCGGCGAAGGGAAAGAAGCGTCTCGAGGGTAGCAACGAGTGTCGTCGCAAGAGGGACTCGGGTTCCGGGTCCAGTTCCGACTCGAAACAGCGACGCGGCGGCGACCCGTTCGCCGGCGGCTACCGACCGAACTACTACGATTGGGCGCCGGACGCGTCGTCGCATCTCGAAGCCAAACAGACCACCGTTCATCCGAAGGTCGTCTGCGACATCCCGAAACGTTCTCCCGTCTTCGTGGATCGGAACGTCCAATCCGCCAAGCTCCCGACGACGATTTCCGACTCCGTTTCCAGGTCCGACAATTACAGGTGCGCCCGGTTCTCCCTCTCGACTCGCTGCGAATATTCGTATACTCGTTTATTCGTCTCGATATTCTGCTAACGTTAACGGTCTCGCGATCGTTTCGCTTCGTTTCGTTCCGTAGGAAGGATTTCGCGCACGGCGCCCTGACGACCAAGTCGTCTTTCGCCAGCAGCGACAGCGAACTCTCGCAGCCGAACACGAGACCGCACTCCACGGAGACCGGAGTCAAGACGCAGTCCCATCGATCTAGGTACGTTCAACGATACCCTCGGTAACGCTCCCTGACGCTCCTCGAAGTCGTCAAAGTTCTCGATCTCGATCGGGACCGATCGCGAAACGCATCCGGCGCGCGCGCGTGCCGCTGTTCCCCCCCCCCCCTCTCCATTGGGGCAGTTTTCCGTTCGGTAATATGTAAAATTCAAAGTGCAAACTGAGAAGTTCAAAGCGCACGATACAACGTGGAACGGGCACGCGTTGAACGCCTCTAGTCATCCGACGACGCTTCCGGTAATGTCTCCCTTACCGACGCTCGTATGGTCCACGAAAATGGACAATTTGGGAAGAGGCGACACGATTGTTCGAGCCTCGCAGCTCGTTCTTATAGTTACCAATTGCCAATAAATATAAAAATGCTCGAACAATCGTATTTTCTCTACCTAAATCGTCCATTTTTGTAGACAATCCGAGCGTCAATTAGGGAGACATTATACTGTAATTCTCCCCTTCGACGGTATTAGGACGCTTGCGGAGAATTCGATAAATTTGTAAGACCGTTGGGAAATTCTTACAATTTCTCGTTTTGTTTCGCGCTTAATTTTACGATACTGTAACGAGTAGATTACACATGTACATTTAACGGTATAATAAAATTAACGTCAATTTTATAAAAGAGAATCGAAGCTTCTTTTCGGTGACGCGTCCACCGCATTTTTAATGCGTTTCCTGGACTAACTAACTTATTGGTCCGTCTATTATTTTTATTGTGCCATGTTCTACATATTTAGAAAGCACGAGAGAGAGAGAGAGAGAGAGAGAGAGAGAGCAGAATAAATGGGAAAACTAAGCGTACAAGTGACGAGAACGCTTCCGACTTAATATGTACTTTAGAGATTTTTTACGATGCCATAAAACTCGCAGACGCAACCTAAACCGAACGAAAAATACTACAATTTATATTAAATAAGAGGGTGTCCTAATACTTTCGAAGGGGAGCGCGCGATCGCGGCGTTTCGCTTCGGTCGTCCATCGAGCGTTCCGAGTATCGGCGGAAAGCGGTTGCAACCTTTTTCCGCCGAGCTTTTCGGGAGCGCGGTCGCTGACGCGCGCGCGCACACGCACATGCACACGCACACGCAGCCAAACAGCGAACGAACACGTTGAAGCAGGTCGGCTAGTCGGGAGCGCAGCGAAGATGCGGCCACCTCGGAGGAAGACGCTCCAGCGGAGCTGGCGAAACGACCGAGGAACCCTGTCCACGATTTTGCGATAAGCGGGCTGCGACCTTTTACGAGGAGCAGGAGTTATCGGCCAATTTCCTTCGATCCCCGTCCGCCTCCGTCTGTTCCGAGTTAGCCGGAATTCGGAACGAACGCGCTTCGATCGTTCGCCGATCGTTCCTAGATCGCGAACTTCGAACGCTTCGCATCGCCGGTCCACCACCCGGCTTTGTTCGCCCGAATCGTGGAATCTATCGTTATCGGAGCAATAACGGAGAGTTCTCCGATTCCAGCGTACAATATTTTGTTTTGCTGTAAGATACTAAAACGATATTCCGTCGTTCCGTTTTCTTCAATAAAACATCGTGTACTTTGTTGCGTTTGAGTTTTTCTCTGCCGTCCGAGAGCAACTTCGTTTCGTGCGCATGCGTACGCGCATGCGCGAGTCTACGAGTACCGAACGCCCAACCGTCCGATCGTTGCGATTTTTACAAAAATCGTTGACGTAGAAATGGACGACTCTGCGAGGGAGACTCTCGTAAGCGGAAATGGAAGTGGAAATGGAACTGTCGATGGAAGCCGTGAAAATCACCGAACATCGCCGTCGAGCAGCGTATTGTACGAACAACCTTGTCTTTCGTTTCCGTCTCGAATCTCGAATTTTCAATCTTGCCGACTTTCGCGCTCGCCAGACGCTCGAAATTCGAATGCTTGCTGTCGGAGAGCAGCGACGACGAGGATTCCCCGATCTCGAATGCTGCAGCGAACGCGAACCCTGGACCGGTCGCAGGCTCGGCCGATTCGAGCGTTTCAAGGCCGATTTCCGAGGAGCTGACCGAGGTGGCTATAGCTAGACAACTTTTTTCGAATCTTCTCGAAAGCTTCTCCGGTTTGTCGTCGTCGTTGTCGTCGTTTCGTAGGTTATCTTGGCGGTAATTTGGAGGAACAATCGTTGGCTCGGCGCCGTGTGCTACGATCTCGCAACGTCCGGACTCCACGCGATGGAGGACACGTGCGACGACCCGGTGCACTTCGACGTGACGAAGGCGTTGTTCAGGCAGTGGAAGCCGCGCTACGTGGTGACGTTGGCCGGCTCGCCGACGGCGTTCGTGAACGCCGTGAAGAGAACGATCGCGAGCGAAAGAGACGCCGAGCGGTCGACTTCGTTCGCCTCGGAGGACGCGGCGAGCGACGCGATCCTGAAGCTGGTCGGTAAGAAAGAGCACAGCTTCGAGCGGTGCTCGTACAGAGTCGGCTGCCTTCGACTGGCGTCGGAGCCGAGGGACGCGAGCAGCGCCGACCGGCTCACCTTCCTCAACAGCATTCTAAACTTCAACTGCGCCGCCATGATCCACGCGCTCGGGGTGCTGCTGCTCTTCGTCGACAGACACTGGAACGCGATGGCTCTCGATCCCTCCGGCAGACCCGCTTTCCTCACTCTCGAGCACATGGCGCTGTAAGCGATGGTTCGATCAACTTTCTAGGCGGACGACCGATCCTTCGCGCATTACACTCGATTCCTCCGTCCAGGCAAAATCTGATGACGATGAACGACGACGCGTTCCGAGCCCTGAACATCGTGCGATCCAGGGATCATCCGAGTCTGTTCAAGTTCGGCGAAACGAGCGCGAAAACCGGCGCCGCGAGCCTCTTCTCCCTGTTCAAGCGTTACTGTCGCTCGAGGCCCGGCGCGCAGTTTCTCTGGAAAACGATGCAGCATCCGTCGCGCGACGTCGACCTGCTCCGCAATAGATTGGACGCGGTCGAATACCTTCTGAACCCGAGCAACCACACCTTGGTCGAGAACTTGTCGGCGTGCTTGAGCAACGTGGACCGGCTGACGAGCGCGGTGCTCGCCTGCTGCTCGGGACCGCGAGCGAAACCGTCCAATTGGTACAAACTGCACAAGGTAAAAACGTCGGAAGCGATCTCGCTCGACTCGTCTCTACGTTCGAATTCGATCTCGCTCTCGCAGACCGTCTCGAACGCGATCCGCATCGCCGACCTGTGCGAGGAGCACGCGGGCCGCGTCGAGATCTTCGAGTCCGTCGCGGGCACCGGGACCAACGAGATGCGATACGTCAAGTATTTCGTCGAGTACATCGTGGACTTTGCGGCGAGCAGGCGGGAGGGAAAGCTCGTGGTCAGGCCGAACGTGGACCCCTTGCTCGACGAACGTGAGCGATACGTCGTCGTTTCTTTCGAGTTCACCGCTTCTTCTCGATCCTGTCTCCTCCCCCTGTTCTCTCTGTTCGCAGTGAATCACGTGCGACGCACTCTGCCCGAGCTGCTCACGCGAATGGCGGCGAAAGACATGAGGGAACATCTGCCGGCTTCGGTGACGGGCTGCAACATGGTCTACTTGCCGAGCATCGGCTACGTGCTGGCCATCAACAAATGGAATCCGACTCCGCCGGACGACGCGGAAATCCCGAACTTGGAGTTCAAATTCAGCGTGAAAGACGTGCACTATTACAAGAGCTTTTCGGCGAGAGGTCCGTGTATCGCGGAGGCGACCGTGCCGAACAGAGCCGAGCCGGTAGAACCGAACGTTCTTCCGCTAACGTCGTTTCGTTTCAGAACTGGACGAGACCGTGGGGGACGTGATACTGAAGATATCGATCCGCCAGAATCACATCGTGCAGAAGCTGTGGCGATACGCGACGAAGCAAGCGCGTTTCATCGCGCGAGCGATCGAACGATGCGCGGAACTCGACACGTATGCGACCGACATCCGTTCTTCGTTTCTGCTTCTGTTGCTCGAAAAACACACGAGAGACGGTCGTCGGGTTGCAGGTTGATCGCGTTCGCGAGGGTAGCGCGCGACTACGATTACGCGAAGCCGACCATAACCCGGTCGAAGATCATCGACGCGAAGGAAACGCGACACCCGCTGTTCGAATTCTCGACGGCGTGCGTCCCGAACGACGTGCGATCCGGAAACGGTGGAAGCCTGGTCAAGGTTTTAACAGGGCCGAACTCTTGCGGCAAGAGCGTCTATCTGAAACAGATCGGACTGTTGATATTCATGGCGCACATCGGTTCGTACGTGGCCGCCAAATCGGCCACGATAGGAATAGTCGATCGTCTCTCGACTCAAATGTCGAACGCGGAGAGCGTCGGCTTGTACGCGAGCTCCTTCTTGCAGAATCTTCGACAGGTTTCGTAGAGAACGTGGAAAACAGTCTCGAAGCGGGCGCAGAGTTTGCTCGCGACGATCTGAAATCGATCGTTCGCGTTTTAGATCAACGTGGCTATTCGCGCGTCCACTTCCGACTCCGTGGTGCTGATGGACGAGCTGGAGAGAGGGACGACGGAATCGAGCGGACGCTCGCTGGTAGCAGCGGTGCTCGACGAATTCGCTAAAAGGAAGCAACGGTGCCCGCACGTTTTCGCGGCGACGCACGCGCACGCGGTAGTCGAGATGCTTCCACGAACGGCGTCGATCGAACCTCAGGCACGTATTTCTTTCAGCGCCGCGGTCGCCTCGTTTCGTCTCGCTAGACGTCGTTTTACAGACGTTCGAGTACGTCGTCGACCAGGACCAATCCTTGGCGTTTCTTTACCGGCTGATCGGCGGCAGCGCGTCGCGCAGTTTCGCCCACTTCGCGGCCAGGTTCGCCGAGCTGGACGAGAGCATCGTCGATCGAAGTTTGGAGGTAGACTGCTCTAAATACTCTAAACCGGCGTGTTCCGGATGAAACGCGATATTTTTCAGGTGTACGAGTCGATCGGGAGCAGCGTTCTGCCGTCGCGGATCGGCCGACGTTGGGACGCGTAAGAATCAATGTTTTTTTCGATCGTTCTCGTTCGAGAAATCGTTTTGAAAAACTCGCTTTCAGATTGCATCGCGTCGCGCAACTCTGCGAGGCCGGACAGGACGTGGTTCAGGAGCGGCTGAAATCCTTGATCGACATAATTATGACTTCCAAGTAGACGGAACGCGTTGAAACTAATTTTTACGTTTCGCTGAAAGCTACATCGTAAAACGTATTTTCGTTTCCTGGCATTGGTTCGTCGAGTCGTTGCTACTTTACAGTTTCTTTTATTTTCTCGTCGAATCTCGCGTACGAATACAAAAGTCCAGTTCTGTTCGTGTAGCTTGTAAAATTAAATTGTAAAAAAGAGTGTTGAATTAATCGTGAAAGCGTGTTACAGAATAGACGCCACGAGTTTCGGTTTTGTACAGTACCGCCTCCTTCTTTCGCGGTTAGTCGGCATCCCGTCCTCGTCCGTTGGCAGTTGGCTACAAGTTTCAGCGTTTCGCCGCTACGCGGACCGGCGTCGCCCGTGTCGCGGCGGTTGCGCATGGACGACGCGCAACGGATTTCACTGCGGAGGAACCGCGCGACCCGTCTACGATGACAGGTGGGATACCGTTGACGATCGTCCGTCATAAATCGCACGATACATGGGCACGGTAAATGACGTTTACAACTGGAGCTCTGTAAAAGCACTGTACGCGACCGTGTCCTCGATGAATTTGGCTGGTCTGATCGCCGTCGTGCTCGCCGTTGTTTGGGCCGCGAGGTTCCAGAGGGGTTTCGGAGATTACCTGAACCTCGTCGCTCCAGGTTAGCCCGACAGTTTGTACCCACGATCGCATTTTGCTCGCGAACGATTCGGCCCACGTGCCGCGTTTGGCTCTTTCCCCTACCAATTCTTCGACTCCGCCGTGACGTAGCTTCGTACGTATGGTACGATACGGTTCGACCGGTGGTGGGGGCGAGGCCGTTGGACGAGCCCAAGCTTTCCTTCGAACCGATACCCGCTCGGAGCGAATCGATAATTCGGCAATTTACTTTCTTTCGACCGCTCGACTTTGGCGATACGTATAAAATACGAGATCTAGTCTAAGAGAGAGAGAGAGAGAGAGAGAGAGAGGCATAGCCTAAGAGCGCGTCGGATATACGTCTATATAGGCAGGCGGAAAGAAATTCGGGTAACATCGTTCGAGGAAGCGAACCGACGCGCGATCTATGAACGCGTTACCGTCCGAATCACTATCGATAGCTGTTAAAGCGGATCACGCGGCGAGCAGGTGACGGTTCCGCGTGGACGACCGTGATAATCTCGGCGGCGGTGCTGTGCTCGCCCGCCTACATCCTGGGCCTGAAATCCTGTTTCCACCTGCGAACGGAGAGCTCCGAAGCGGACCCGGAGGAAGAAGAGCAAACGGTCGACGACCTGCAAAAGGTGGCGAACCGTCTTCTCTTCTTCCACGTGATCGCTTGCCTGCTGTCGGGATTCCTGGTGGCGGCGCTGAACGCCACCTATCTGGCCCTGTTGAGCGGTTTCCAGCAGAAAAGCCGCGACGGTCTGATGCAGGCGATTCAAAGGTACGGCAGCGACGCGACGGCGAAGGAGCGCGTCGACGCGGTGCAGACGGAGTTCGAGTGCTGCGGGGACAGCGGCTACGAGGACTGGTTCCGGGTGCCCTGGCTCGAGCCGGCGAACGGGCCCGAGCACCCCGAGCACCCGGAGCACCCCGAGAACGGTCCTCGACTGGAAGAGCAGTGGGTATAATCTCTCGACTCGTTTCGAAGAACATTGGAACGCGTGATAATTCCGCGGTCGAGTACAGCTCGGATCTCTTCGTTACAGATCGGCGCCCGACGAACGGGAAGAAGAATCGACGAGAACCGCGGACGTTCCCTTCTCCTGTTGCTCGAACGACGTCCCGAAACCCTGCGTCCACCACGACGTCCTGAACCCCGGCGCCGCGTACGACTACAACCCGAAGCACCCTACGATCGCCACCCTCGGCTGTCGAACCAAGATCATGGACCGAGCCGTCACCGTCAGGTTGTATCTCTCCGGATACCTGGCCGTCGTGACGGTCTATCAGGTAGCGGACCGATCGTTTTAATCGTCGGCCAATCGCCGTCTCTCACGCGATTCCATCTTCCAGGTGACTCTGTCGTTCCTCTCCCGCCTCCTGCAAACCGCCCATTCGAACGACCTGTACATAGGCTTCAGGAAGCATCGGTACCGCGCCTGGATCCTCTTCGGGCCGGAGGGAACGTCCTCCGACGCGGCGTCGACGAAACGAAGCAGCCGAGCCTCGCTGCTCGGAAAACGATCCGGCCGTAAACCGCCTCGCTCTCTCACCACCACCGCCTCTTCCTCCTGCTCTTCCTCCTCCTCTTTAGAGGAGGAGGAAGTAGCTCCGAAAGCGGCCCGTAAAGCCAAGAGCAGCGGCGTAAAGATGCTGGACGAGATTCGCTCGAGGATCTCCTCGGCGAAGTCGAAGAGCCTGCCTCTTCTGGTCGAGTCCAAGACATCGATCGCCGACAAGCTCCGAGCTCCCGAGAGAGACGTTCGTTCGTCGAAGGACGGAGTCTCGAGGGTGGTCGGCGAAGGGGCGGGACGGGGGCGAGGCGAGAGCAAGAGGAACGGCGGCGGGAAGCGACTTTCGAGGCGCGCGACGAGGTCCGAGGTGGTCGCGAGGCGGAATTACGACTCGTCGGAGCTTTCCGCGAGCAGCAGGTCGATCAACGAGGATCTACCGCCTCCGCCGCCGCCTCCGCCCTTCGCTGCGAGGCTCGAGACGGAGCGGGTCGACGACGCGGTCGTCGGGACGCGGTTCCGCGAGCAGAGATCCTTCGGCCAGAATTCTGGCAGGCGGATCAAAGTCCTGGAGAGATTCGGAAACATCGAACGGAGGATCGACGGACGGAAGACCGAGGGACGGTGCGATCGAGTCGCGCGGCGCAGGGAAAGCGGGGGCGCCGATTTTGTCCGGGTCGACGGCGATTCGCCCGCCGGCTCCGATCGCTCCGGGAGAATGAAATCCAGCCCCGGCGACGTTTACGACAGATTTCGGGGCTCTCTGCAGCACACTCTGGCCAGGAGAGAGGCCGCGCGATCGAGGAGAGGCTCCAGGGGGCGGGCCCGAGCGGGCCGGGCCGCGGCCAGCCTCGAAGCGAGGCGGAGCAGTCTTCTGGCCCGCCTCGGTTGCAAGAATGTCCCGCCCTCTTATCGTTTGTTGGCCAACTTGGAGGACAAGAAGCGACCCACCGCGCAAACGTACCCTGCGCCCGCGCCCACAGCCCCACCCTTTCTCCAAAATCGTTGGAGCGCTAACTGCGGACGAGTTCAAAGACGATGCAGCGTCTGTCGTCGTCCCGTTCGATTAAGTCCGACTTCCTCTCGAGGATCGTTCGTACAGCGAGACGACGTTGCTCCACCTGTAAACGACTTTTTAGAGAATAGGCTGCGTTTGGAAGAGATCCGCGTACCTTGGAATCGAGCCCCTTCGATCTCGAGGTCAGGTCCGCGTCGGTGATGGCTAGAACTTTCTAAGGAACGAACGCTGTTTGGGACGGTCAGGAGGGACGGGAATCGGGTAGAAACACAGGGTGTCCCGAAAATGTCTCGCCATCCGGAAACGGGAGGTTCCTGAGATCGTTCGAAGCAACTTTTTCCTTGGCGAAAATGCGATCCGCGGCTTCGTTTACGAGTTATCAACGAAAAACACCGACCGATAAGAGGCGAGCTCGGCTGGCGCGCGGCGGCCCGGCCAACGAGCGCGCGCAGCCCGGTTCCGCTCGTTGGCTCGGCCGTTTCGCGTCAAACGATCTCGCCTCCGATCGGCGCACCGTTTTTCGTTGATAATTCGTAAACGAAGCCGTGGATCGCATTTTCGCCAAGGAAAAAGTTGCTTCGAACGACCTCAGGAATCTCTTACTTTCGGATTGCGAGACATTTTTGGGACACTCTGTATATTTCTGCGATCCATCGCTTCGATGGATCGGCACTCTTAGATTCGTATTCGCTCGGCCAGTTTTGCACCGTATGCGCGAACGAGCCGTCGCGGGATTTAGTAAAATACGAACGCGATTCGACGAGCAACCGCGAGGCGAGGGGGAAGAGGATGGTCTTGGTAAAGCCCACCTTGGGAGCCCTCGACGCGATCGCTTACCGAGCGCTTGTTTTAAACATCGAGAAATAAAATCGGTTCCGTCGGCCGAAAATTCTACCCGCGCTTGGAATTTTTCTTCGAGAAAACGAAAGACGGAATCGACGACTTTTCTCCGGGAATAGTTATATTATTAAATAGTTGTATAATTACGCGAGATCTCTTCCATTGCGTTCGCGGAAAGAAACCGCAACGAACGTTCGTCGATCCGATTTCCTCGGAGGAAAGTTCCGAACGTCGGACCAAGACGATGACGTAGTCTGGTATTTACAATACTTGATGGTTTATTTGCCGAGAAGTAAAATACACAGGCATTTGTTATAACGATACTGCCGAAGAATACTTCTTAGTCTCTGTAATACATCTAGCGACAATACATCGGTACTAAAAAGAGAAAAGCTGATATTCGTTTCTTCGAGCAAAGTTCACCGTTTACCAAATACTTTACAACTTTTGTTTCGTTTTCGTTTTGTTTCATTATTTGTTCGGTTTCTTAACAAACTCCACCACCTTATACACACTAAACATCATTCTCACTCTCTCTCTCTCTCTCTCTCTCTCGCTCTCGCTCACTTTCGTTCTCTTTCATAAACGCGGTACGAGCAACCGATGGGAGCGATCGCGCTTTTGCTTCCGCGATCAGGCCCCGCACCGATCGCACCTTGCACTTCCGCACGGTGGTCCCAATTATCGCGATCAACCGGTGCACGATCCAGATCGCTCGGAGAGAGTCTCTCGCGATTACGTCGAACTTCTTGCAATGATCGCGCGTCTCNTTCCTGAGATCGTTCGAAGCAACTTTTTCCTTGGCGAAAATGCGATCCGCGGCTTCGTTTACGAGTTATCAACGAAAAACACCGACCGATAAGAGGCGAGCTCGGCTGGCGCGCGGCGGCCCGGCCAACGAGCGCGCGCAGCCCGGTTCCGCTCGTTGGCTCGGCCGTTTCGCGTCAAACGATCTCGCCTCCGATCGGCGCACCGTTTTTCGTTGATAATTCGTAAACGAAGCCGTGGATCGCATTTTCGCCAAGGAAAAAGTTGCTTCGAACGACCTCAGGAATCTCTTACTTTCGGATTGCGAGACATTTTTGGGACACTCTGTATATTTCTGCGATCCATCGCTTCGATGGATCGGCACTCTTAGATTCGTATTCGCTCGGCCAGTTTTGCACCGTATGCGCGAACGAGCCGTCGCGGGATTTAGTAAAATACGAACGCGATTCGACGAGCAACCGCGAGGCGAGGGGGAAGAGGATGGTCTTGGTAA